TACCAGCGATGATGTCCACAATGTTTGTCCTAAACTGAGACCTGGCGTTGAGTGTAAGCTAACTTGGTAGTTTTTACTTCCTGCAGTAAAATTGCATCAGATTATCAAGTCTATTGAAGAAGACGGAGTTGCGCGATATGTTGCTGAGGAAGGCTTGTGCGCACACGTATTATTCGCTCGGCATCAACAAATAGAACTTTTCCGCCGATTCTCGCATGTCGTTTGTGAAGACTCTACTCATGGTACTAACAGTTTGAAGTAAGAATTGATAGCGGGCATACTTGTTGCTTGCAGCTTCAAACTATACCAGTTTTTAATAACTGACGGCATGGGGTACGGCCGGCCAATATTTTATGCGTTTCTGCGTCGGGAAGATTACACATCATTGCTTACGTTGTTCGAAGCGTTTCGGGATATCATTGGTCATGATATTCCCGTCCGCATAATAATGATGAACAAAGTGGCCGCTGAAATACGTGCGGCCCGCGCAATTTTCAATGCGACATATTTTTGTGCTACTTCCACATCCGCCAGGCCATCAGGAAGCATATAAGTGATAAATCTTCGTTACATTCTGTAGACAAACATTAACCGGTCGCGTTAGCTGTTTCATCGCATGGCAACTTCTGACACGGAGACTGAGTATAATCTCTTTCTATATGTAATATTCTTGTTTTAGATTTCAACAAGATTTGAAGCGCCTTCAAAGAACAGACCCCAGTTTGTGCGATGCCTTACGTTGTACTGGTTGTACATAAAAAGCTCGTGGGCGAAACACGCCCAAGCTGGACTGGTGCATTTTGGCAATGCAACGAACAACCGAGTTGAGAATGCCAACTTGCGATTGAAGCAAGTTACCTATACATCGGGTGGCCTTGTTGCAGCCGTTCGCAAAGTCTGGGCGCATTCGGAAGTTCTCCTGAAAGAGTCCCAGAGGCATGCCGCATTTTTCTGTGACAGGCGTCAGCTACTAGAAAGCAGCGCATATGTTCATCGCGTAGTTTGCCTCATAACTACGTACGCATTCAACTTAGTGATGCGCCATTTAGCACAACCCATATTACAAGCAGTTTACTCGGACCTTGGAGATGGAGTGGTATGTAAATAAAAATTTCTGACGCTTCCTTAGTTTAAGATATCGCACCAGGGAAACCGTTTTATCATCGATTGCTCCTTAAGAACATGTAACTGTCCCTTTTAAGAAACCATGTGGCTTCCGTGTGTGCATTTAATGACGGCATACGAGCAGTACGCGTACCCAACAAGTAAGCCGTTTCTGATATGTGCATCCATTTACAGGCGAAAAACCCATTTCCATCCGCTGGCTGGCGGACTACAAGCTACCCACAGAGTCCATGCCGTTGCGGACGTTGAAAGTCCCCGTTACGAAACTATCCACGTCTAAAATTGCACATCTTGTATATCGTCTGAGAAGTGCTGAAGAGGTTAATCCAACTGGATTTTCGGAACTGTATCAGGAGCTATTGCGAAGGACTAACGAAGTAATTGGTGATTCACCAGACTTTCAACGTGCAAAAAACAACCGCGTTTGCCGAAAATTATGGCGCCTACATGTCATCCAAGGCACGAATATAGTGAACAACGCTGAACCTTCTCTCGCTGTCTTTTGGTTGATATAATGCACAGTTTTTATATCGGTTTCTGCGCTCATTTGGGATTACAGCGTTTTAAACAGTGAACTGGACTAGCGGCTCGTTTGCTGCCAGTGTAATAGGACCGAGATGGGTTGTCACAGCACACGGCTCGATGTCTCGTGCTCTTTGTATATAGGCTCCATCAGTAGCACGTTTGGGTCCAACGTAATAAGACCCAGTTGGGTTGTAATATCATACAACTCGAAGTCTCGTGGTCGTTGTATACAGGCTCCATCCGCGGCACATTTGGTGCCGAGGTAATAGGACACAAGTGGGTGGTAATAGCACACCACTCCAAGTCTCGTGGTCGTTGTATATAGGCTCCATCCGTGGCACATTTGGTGCCGAGGTAATAGGACACAAGTGGGTTGTAATAGCACACCGCTCCAAGTCTCGTGATCGTTGTATATAGGCTCCATCAGTGGCACATTTGGTGTCAACGTAATAGGACCCAGTTGGGTTTTAATAGCTCACCGCTCCAAGTCTCGTGGTCGTTGTATATAGGCTCCATCAGTGGCATATTTGGTGCCGATGTAATAGGACACAAGTGGGTTGTAATAGCACAACACTCCAAGTCTCGTGGTCGTTGTATATAGGCTCCATCAGTGGCACATTTGGTGCCCATGTGCTAGGACCCAAGTGGGTTATAATATCATTTGACTCCGAGAATTGTGCTTGCAGTATACAGACTCTGAGAGTAGCGCACTCACGATACTGCTGTGGCAGCATCAGATAATGCATACTGTTTGGCTGAAAGTCCTCCTAATTAAGTTTCGTTTGGACGAGGATTGGTAATTCAAAATCAAGTTAGGGTTTGGGTTTGCGGCTGACGCATTTCGAAATTATAATAAATAGGTGGCTTTTCGCTCAAGGTTTACGATATTTTTACTATGAAACTTTCTTTGCTGAAGTTCAAGGGGCGTTGGGAGATATACTGGGTGACCAAAAGGAAGTCCACAAGGTGTACATTTTCACTGCTGAGGGCCAAAAGTCTGGTCATTTAGGGAGTTACAACACTCACACGACGGCACGCGCCTTCGCTGTTCGCGCTGAAGGGATGCATATTCCGTCAAAGATACGCGGTAATCCAGTACAGACTGGTAAGTGCGTACGACCACAGTGACTAATTATTCGTCACATATGGCGCGCTAAAAGTCACTGGTGCTGACAGAAAGTACGGTTAAAAAGAAGGATTTAACGAACTAAACAGTGCCGATAATTATTTAGAACACGAGCTACCAATATCCATGAACATATAAAGACATTTAGCTTCATCTCCTTTAGCTTCTCTTCGAGGGGCCCAAAGCAAGCTTCAGTGGGGGGGGGCTCGCGGTACATATGTTTGGATAAAATGATAATTCATAAGATTTCTATGATTTTACAAAAGCTTCTCTGTTAAAGAAGCCACTTAATTATGTCTGCTAAGATGTATCCACTGCTATGAAACTCACAAACCCCAGGTGTTAGTTATTTCATTATATTAATAATGCGTTTCACATTAAAATTCCGAGGCTAAAAATATCGGTACGATAGGAGGCTAATTAAATAGTCCAGGACGAAACGGAAAGTGGACGGCTGGAATTTTTAATAAATGGACTCAGAAATGCTATGCTTATCTTTTATACCTTGTAGTAAATAATTTCTAACTTAGTTACCAATATTGCATTACTGTTACGCATATTTAAGGCAAATATAGTTGCATGCTTTACACACTTGGATGTTTCACCATCGATACGTAGGTGCATACTAACACCAGTTGGATATTAGCAATTTTGCAACACAGCGTGCCCAGCTACTTGAGTGGACCCCAGTTTGTATTCATTTCAAAACCGTTTTGCTGCACCTCTCGTCTGTCTTCTGTTCTGCGTTTAATAACATTTAGACAGGACGTCGAGAAGACGCATAAAAGATAACCCACGGACTATAAACGGACGCTCATGCCAACAAGCTTGTCACAAAAGAAAGCTTTTACGGTATAAGTTGCAGAAATCCATTTTTTTAACGGAATTCCAAGACTGCGAATTAGTTAAATACAGCACCCATGAAATCAGGCGACTTAATTTTGACTTTTAGCGTTGCAATGCGCTCACTGTGCAATATTGGACATAAGGGTGCGGAAATTTCTTTGTCTAATTAATTTACCAAAGTTACAGCATTTGGTTAACCATATTGCCGAACATTCGAATCGGAGACAAACGGTTCATGGGTTTATAGGTTCATAGGATTGTAGAGAGCAGAAGGAGAAATCCTTTGTCAGCTCCATCGCTTCCCGGTCATTGTGTGGAGGCCGCGATTCGATGTTATGCTGTAATCCACAAGGGACCTTGACAGCTGCACTGGAAGCTGCAAGGGCCCATTGTACTCAAAAGATAAGGGTCTAACATTCGCTTGAAACATTCCTCAGTCTGAGCATCGACCACATGCTTCGGCAAGTTATTCCAATCGTTGACTACGCGAGTTGATAGAGCGAGAGCAGGATGAATCCGGAGTCTTCTGGGTTTAAACAGTTTCCAGTTGTGGCCTCGAGTTGAACTGTTTAGATTGGATTGAAAGCACGCCTGCAGCTCCGTCCCCATCTCTCCTCTCAGGATGCACCTGGTGAAAATCAGGTCACCGCGAGGTTGGCCATAATCCAGGGTGAACAGATTCATCCGCTGAAGTCTCAGGGGATAAGGCAAGTCCCGTAACTCCAAGATGTGTTTCGATCCACGCCGTTGGACTTTCTCAATGAGGTCACATTCGAACTTGGTGAGAGGGAAGACGGCAGGTAATCCGTATTCGAGACTGGGGCGGACATGGGAAGTAAACAGTAGTCGAAAGATATCCGGAGACAAACGCGAGGAGGCTCGTCGCATGGCAGGGGACATCCTGTTGGTAGCAGCAACCCTTCGTAACGTGTCCAGTGTAGTCAGTAGATCAGATGACACCAACACGCCGAGGAGTTTTTCAAGGATTAATGTTTTGAGCAACGCCCCACCAGTGTGATACGTCCCGAAAGGCTCAGAAGCAACAATGGGGAGGACCGAGCCTTTATCGCCATTTATGGGCAATCGCCATTTGACTGACCACTCATGTAACATATCAAGTGTAGCCTGTAATCGGTCCGCCTCGTCAAGACAGGATACCTCCATCCACAGTTGCAAGTCAGCAGCGTAAATCAAGCAGTCCGACTGAAGTTCCCCCGGAAGGTCATTGATGAAGATCTTGAAAAGTTCTGGGCCCAGTACAGATCCCTGAGGGGCACCGCTAGTACATAGCTTTTAGCACACTAAAACACAGTTTTCAGGTTACACTGGATTACAATGTCAGAGTCTAGAGATCAATTGTTTCACTCCCGTCCGACCAACCAACAAACGTCACCATCTTTAAAGTACCCTGCTGGGTCTGCGACTACCGGGCAGCCTTATCGTTAGTAGGTCGCTCCGAGTGTACCGAGCAACCTGACTAATTTTTCATACGTTGGCGTATCGTCAGACGGACGGACTACCACAGTTAGAATGGGCGTCGACCTCCCTGATGGTTTGCGTGGATATTTGCAAAAATGGACCAATTACATTAAAGGCTATCAAAAACGTTGGTTCGTTTTACAGAATGGATTTGTTTCGTATTACCGGTAAGTTTATTAGGAAGCTTAATCTGTTTCCTACTCGAAACGTATATTATATCTTGCAGCAACTTTTATAAATCTGCATGTCCTCAATGAATTTCGTTTTCTCTTTGAATTCATGTCGTTGCCCATGTTACAGCGCTTACAAAGTTTGATCATGGCTTGGTTGCGAAAGTTTAGCAGTGCGGTTCCATAATCTCTACATGGTCTGGTGTCGAATTCATGACGGATACCAATCGCTGATGGTCGGGGTGGTCTACAGAACCCCTGCAGCACCTGGCTGACACCTATTTCGTTCCGTGCGAAGCCGCAGCAGATGAACAAACTGTCTCCTTATGGGTGACTTCAACACCCCAGATAATCTGGGACCTTTTTCACGGTGATCTCTCACCTGACTCCTTTGAAGTTGATCTCCTTGATACCGTTCACGAGTGCAACCTGACACAGCATGTCTTGATACCAACGCGGATGGTCCTTGGTTAGACACCAAACATTCTCGACCTAGTTCTCACTTCGGCACCATCTGATGTCTCAGATCTAACGACCCTCCAACCTCTTGGGATGAGTGATCACTGTACAGTCTCCTTTCCGTGGAAACGACGCCTCACAATCCACAATCAGGGTACACTGCGCCGAAATTTTTGGCGCACTGACCAGCCCAGATTAAGACTGCAAGTAACTTGAACTGGAGTATTCCGCAATTCTTGGAGCTTGATGACGCTTGGGAACGCCTGCGGTCTATGATGATGCGGCTCATTGAACAGTTTATTCCAAACCGCAAGAGCGGACCACCATCCAAACGACCGCATGCATTGATAAAGAAGTAAGATCCCTAATGAAAAAAACGACGAAAACTATGGGATCGTTTCAAGAGCACAGGACTGACATCAAGCTACTTAGAGTACAAAACTGTTAGAAACCTATGCACCCTGAGAAAATGAGACAAAAGACTACAATATGAACATGGACTGTCCATAGAATCCCAAAACTGTCTCAAGAACCTTTTTGCCTATTTGGACCGAAATGCCAAAACTGCTAGTGGAATCCTCGCTCTATCCTCTTCTAAGCAAGGTACCGTTCTCTACGGCGATGATGTAAAAGCAAACCTACTGACTGCGCAGTATTTTTCGATCTACTCAGTAGTCACCATTGCTCAACACCTGTTTGCCTGCACATTACTCCTCTATGGACCAAATTGAAATTAACCCCGAAGTAGTCACTAAGCTACTCATCGAACTGGACCCGAACTCCTCCCCAGGCCCAGACGGATTGCATCCCAGCTTCCTCATAATAATAGCTGAGTACGTCGCCGTCCCTCTCTGCCAAGTGTTTCGGCAATCCCTCGAAGTCGACTGCCTACCCACAGGCTGGGAAGCAGGTACCGTCCTTCACAAATACAAAGGGGGAAACCAACAAGACGCAGCCAACTACCGGCCAATATGTCTGACATCAGTCGTTTGTAGAACCACGGAACGAATAGTCAAGTGCGTCTTCCAACTACACTGTGTGAATCTAAACCTCTTCTCACCTGCTCAACATAGCTTCCGGAGAGCACGTTCATGCATCACTAACTTACTCATCGCCAGGGAAACATGGGCAGAAGCCATAGATGCCCGAAAACAGGTTGACGTAATATTCATTGACTTCAGCAAATCCTTTGATAAGTTTCCACACGTACAACTGCTAAATAAAATCCAGGGAATTGGCATTACTGGAAATCTCTCCTGGATTGCCGATTACTTAAGAGGTAGGACAATGCGCGTACAAGTGAACCAAACCATCTTTGCTTCAGTGCTTATGACTAGTGGCACTCCCCAAGGATCAGTGCTTGGACCGGACCTCTTCAAACTGTACATTAACGATCTGCCTACTGCACTTCAAACCGACTGCTTGATCTATGCCGATGACCTCAAGCTATGGTCAACAGTCTCCAGCATTGAGGATGCGGACAGATTACAAGGGGCTCTAGACCAGCTACACGGATAGTCCATCAAGTGGGAACTGCCAGTAAACCGAGATAAATGCGCTGTTCTCCCAATGGGTAGCACTGAACCGTACGATACATACCACCTTGGTGGGTTTCTCCTCATGTATACCACCCACGAGAGAGATCTCGGGGTTATCGTAACTTCTGATCTTATGACGACGCAAGACACGTTGAAGAGGGTGGCCACTGGAAGGAGATTGTTGGGGGCCTTAAGATCATTTGCTCAAATGACTCCTGAGATTTTTCGATTTTTGTTCACTTCTTACATCCATGCAGTCTTAGAATATGGTCTACCAGCTACCTATCCGCTTTCAAAGTTTGAATGCGCTCTGCTGGAAAAGTTTCAGAGACGTGTACTGAAGGTTGTTCTGGGGCTTCGGGATCTCCCGTACCCCATTCGACTCCACCAGCTAAATCTGTTCTACCTCGAGTTCCGTCGTCGCCGGGGTGATCTCATCTACACTAGGCGCATCCTCCGAGGGGAACTTGAAGTGAGTTACAACAGTTTTTCCGGCCCAACACTGACTGTTCCACACGAGGTCATACATGGAAACTGTTTAAGCAAAGAAGACAGAATTCGCATGGACGTCACCCTATCCACTAGAGTGGTGAATGATTGGAACAGCCTACCGGAAGAAATTGCAAAGGATCCATCCCAGGAAAGTTTCAAGCGGCTGATAGACAAGCATTCGCTGAGAATGCTGGAATCTTGCGGCTGTCACTGCAATTGCACCGAACCCTCGAGGAACGTCGTAATGCAACGACACGCATCAAACCCAATATGATACGGAATTGATGGGGCTGACAAGGGATTTCCCTCCTGCTCTCTACAACTCAATGAACAATGAACAAATGCATCCTTGAGCTCCTACACCTGCCATATCACATTCGTCTCCAACACTTGAATATGTTCATTGGCATATCGGCGTCGCCGGGGCGATTTGATCTACGCTCGGAGCATTTTGCGAGGTGAGATGGGAATCAAGCTCCAAGGTTTCTTCCGGATTAACACAGTGTTCGACTCGTGGCCACTTCTTAAACTGTTTATACCTAGGAGACAGGCTTCATAGGTTCATTGCGTTGTAGAGAGCAGATGGGAGAACCCAGTTCAGCTCAGTCGATTCCTATTCGCTTTGATATTACCTTATCGACTCGTGTGTTTAACGACTGGAATTCCTTGCCTGATTCCGTCGTCAACGCGCATACTGAGGAATGTTTTAGACGATTGTTGGATTTATACTTGTTTACTTTGCAGGGATCTCTTATGCAGCTGTAACAACCTAACTTGTTGATTGCTGTTGCGCAAACACCTGCTATGATTAGGAAGTGATGGAGCAGACCAAGGTCTTTCCTTCTGCTCTCTACACTCCACTGATTCCAATGATTATGTATTGTGGGACTTACCACTGAACCCAAGCAAATGTCAAATCCTAACCATGCGTGATGAAGAGTTTACTGTGTATACATATAATGGGTCAATAACACTGCAGCATATCACCGAGGCACGTGATCTAGGTGTCCTCGTGACGAGTGAGTCCTCGGCACAGTGTAGGCATGCGGCTAATTAAGCTCGACAGGAGTTATTTCGTCTCAGGAGAGTTTTGAGTTGTACTAAGCCAGAGGTCTTTCTTCCTTTGTTCAAAGCTGTGGTCAGACCACATCTGGAATACTGTGTTCAGGCATGGGCACCCTACCTGCAGAAGAATATTTGTATTGTGAATGTGCAGACTGGCTACACGTATGATAGAAGGCCAGCGCGGGTTACCGCATGAATATCAGTTAGCTAACTTAGGTTTGTTCTCATTGAGAAGCAGATTGAGAGGTGACTTAATAGACATTCAAAATCATGAAGGGTCTCAGTGGTCTCAGGTCCACCGATCTGTTTGAACCAGCTACGTCAGACAACTTGCAGGGCCATTGCATGAAATTGAAGCAGCATAGATCTAAGCTGGATTTAAGAGCCAGGTTCTATGTAAACCGCGTTGTGCCCGTTTGCAAACAGCTTCCTTCTGCTTTGTGAATGTGCAAAGCTGGAGGAATTTAAGCGTAGCCTAGACGAACATTGGCTGGCCGTTTCCCGAATTTCCTTGAGCTTCAGTGACTGCCCCTAATCTCCTTACTTCATGGTAATGTGTGGTTAATTCTTGCACTTGTTTCTGCTTTTTCACCATCATAGTATCAAGAATATTCTATCAAGTCGCAGTGCTGGGGGCTGTTTTTCGCTTATCGGCACACGAAACGGGACGCCTATTTAGCCTAAGCTTGTTTCGTCCCTGGATCCCGTCCTGTCCTGTCCTGTACCTGGAGATTCAATTCCACTCTTCAGTACAAAAAATAGCCTAGTCGGCGCAGCATCATCAGATCCAAACTTGTTTGCTTACGTAGAGAGGCGCAGCCGTACAAACTCGTCTATATCAGTGTTGCTGCGAGCTCACGAGATCTATGTGCATACTACGATAAGGTTTGTTTACTCAGCGAACTGTGGTGTCTACTTTTGCGACATCTCCACCACAGATCGAGCTGGTCACAAAAGTCCAGGAGGGTTCCTGACTAACTGCTAAGTTGCGTAACGGAGACTCAGGTCTTCGGGCTATTGCAAAGGCTAAAACATTCCGAAGTTTCCCTGATTCAGTCCATTTGAACCTGATGCATGAATTGGCCGCTGAACTAAGTAGCCCTCTCACATGCTTGTTTACAATATTGCTCGATTTCTTTGCCCTACACTCGATTTTTAAGTGCGATAAGTTCAAGTTCAAGTCGGACCGGAACAGTAGGAAAGTCCCGTGAATGTTCCAACTTTGAAAACGTCGTTGATCCAGCAGGGGAACCGGTGCATTGATGTGCCAAAGGAGAGCCAACTCAACACACATTAGTCACATGGTCAACATAGCAATGCCCACGTGCCCTGCACTAGCAGTCCATGCTCTGCCGGTCACGGTAACATAGCTCTGCACGCGAACTACCGGCCAGTCAGCTTAACAAGCGTAATAGTCAAGTTGTTCGAAAAACTGGTGAATAC